CTACTACTACTACTACTACTACTACTACTACTACTACTACTCCTGCTGCTGCTACTACTACTACTACTACTACTACTACTACTACTGCAACTATGACTTGCTACAACTTCCATCAGAACTGCTTCTCTACTTCTGAGATACAGACATCGAAAACTTGCCTTTACCAAGCAGAGCTCCTACCCAGCAAGTTATGTGGTGTCCGCACTGTGGAGATTTCGGCATTGCCGCAGTTTTCCACAGTGCGGACACAACTCAACTTCAGGACTCTGTATACACCGTTGGCCGGGTGTAGAGGCAAGCGTGCCTAGAAATGTGTGTTGTGCAGACCCAGGCTGGGGGTCAAATTGCAATTGCACTGGCATGTCGGCACGAGAAAGTTGGGAGGCCTGCTACAATTCACTCCAGTGAGCTTTTTTATTGCCCACGTCATTCTGGGTTTGCTGTTCTTGTGAGGCTGTCATCCTGCCTGCTGCTCTGCCTCGGTGGAGTGGCGCCAAAGGCGGAGTTGGGTGCACCCGCCGTGAACTGACACCCTAATTAACTGTCCTAACCCAAGTGTGATTTTTGTGGAGTGGTGGCTAACTAAGGGGTATGTGTGTGTGGACATACACTGCTACAACAACAACAACAACAGCTACTACTACTACTACTACTACTACTACTACTACTACTACTACTACTACTACTACTACTACTACTACTAGGACGACGACTTCTACAAATAGCTTCTACTATGACAACACCTACTTCTGAGCTGCAGACATCGAAAACTTGCCTTTACCAAGCAGTGCTCCTACCCAGCAAGTTATGTGGTGTCTGTGCTGGGGAGATTTAAGGAAGCGTTGCTTGAGTCTCCCAAGCACGGACACAACTCAACTTCAGGACTCTGTATACACCGTTGGCCGGGTGTAGAGGCAAGTGTGCCTAGAAATGTGTGTTGTGCAGACCCAGGCTGGGGGGTCAAATTGCAATTGCACTGGCATGTCGGCACGAGAAACTTGGGAGGCCTGCTAACACATCATTCTAGGTTTGCTTTTCTTCTGAGGCCATCATCCTGCCTGCTGCTCGGCCTCGTGCCCCACCCACCCAGACATGTGCACACCTGTGTTTTTGGCTATCAGCAGCCAGGCTGGAGAACCGCTGGCGGCTGTTTTGGTTACCAGCAGCCAGGCCGGAGAACCTTCACATCCAAATCTGGGCCCGGCCCCTACCTAGCCCCTAGAAGCCAGCCGCATGGGGGATTATAATGACAAGCCAGGTGGGCGACCCTTCACATACTTTCTGGGGCCCGGCTTGTCATTATAATCCCCCATGCGGCCGGCTCCTAGCCACCCCCTAGAAGCCAGGCCCCAGAATGAATATGAAGGCAGTCAGCCCCGGCCTCTGAGAGGAGATAATGACTTTATAATGACTTTTGTCATTTGCTCCGCCGGCTCCTAGTACTACGTTAGGAGCCAGCCAAATTAATGACTTTTGTCATTTGTGAGCCCTGCTAATGACATTTGTCATTTGTTGTCCGGCTGCTGATTCAGGTGCTGGCAAAGCTTTGGCTCAAATTTTGCTGCAAATGTCGTGGAAGAAGCCATGTGTTCAATGGCAAGACGACTACAATGACAAGTCAACCTGGAAGCAGCTTCATGCAGGAGCTGAGCTTGTGTTGGGATGGAAGAAGCCTGCTGCGGGGGAAGTGGCAGAGCCTGAGCCTGGTCCTTTAAAGAAGAGGAAAACTACTGACTGGAAGCAGTGCGGAGCTGACAGTTACAGTTTGCTGTCCACTGTTTCCTGTTCCTCTTCTTCCCCTTCTTGGAAAAAGCCAGACATTAACGTGTCACAGGATGCGAAGCCAATAACTCAGGAAGCTGGCAAAACTGTTCGGCATCATGTCGCCTTGGATGTCCCCATGCTGTCATTGGTGGCTACAATGGACGAGGAGGAGCGTGTCATGACAGAGTACAAGAAGAAGGCACTGGATCCAGAGCGAATTGCCAGAGTGTTGCTGGGGGCTTGCAGTTGTAAGAGCAATTGCTATGGCGTCTTCAAACCCGCAAAGATTCTGGAGGTTTGCCAATTGTGGCACTCAATGTCAGATGAGTCCCAGCACCACTTCTTGAATGCACAATGGGAGAGCAGTGCTGAGAATCATTGCCTGGATGACTCTGATGGAGAGCAGCTGGCTCACCGCACAACCTGGTATTTGGCAGGGCATCAAGTGTGTTTGCCAGGTTTGTGCTCCCTGCTGGGTGTTGGAAACAAGGCCATGGCAAAGAAGCTGCAGGGGGTAATTGATCAGCGCCGCAAAATCAACAATTGTGAGCCAGTGGCTACAAGGCCTCCCTTGCAGCGGAATTTGACATGCATGTTTTTTTTGGAGCTCTACCACCAAAGTGCAGAGGATTTGCCTGAAACTTTGCAAGTGCAGCATGTGGATGACAATATCTCTGCAAGCACGGGTGAGCAAGACTGCGATGCTCCTGTATACATGCGGCAAATATCCACTGAGTCAGAGATCTTCTCGTGGACACCTGAAGCAGCCATTGTTCAAAACATCATGGCACTGTCCACTGTCGATCTGTCCACTGTTCCAGTCCGGCATTTGCCACCAGGCAAGCTCATGACTTTGTTTTGGCAGTTTCAGGCCTGGTGTGAAGCCGTGCAAGGAATGGCTGGCCATAACCAGGCAATTCAAACGCCGTCATGGTCGACATTCTGGAGAGTATGGTGGGACAAGTGGTCGTCTGTGCTGAAGTTCCGAAAGGTTTCGCAGCACAAAGAGTGCAACACATGCCACTGTCTCCGTGAGAAGTTACATGGAGGCTTAGCTGAGCATTGCACTTTCTTTGAGATTTCAGTTCCTTTGTGCCCATGTTGTTTGTGAGCACAAGTAAGGAAAGAAGGGCAGCACCAAGGAGAAGATGGCACTTGCACGAGACTGGCGTGAACATCTTCGTGCCCAATACCATGATCGCCTCATCTACTGGAGCCTGCGGTGGGCATCACGGGCGTCGTTGGACGTCCTGACCATCATCATAGATTCCATGGATCAAGTCAAGACAGCGTGGCCTCAGTACAAGTTTGCACGCAAGCCGCATTCATTGGAAAACCTGCAGAGGCCACGAGTCATACTGTCTGCTGTTCTCTGTCATGGCTGGTGCACCAATGTTTTCATTGCAGATGAAGCTTTGCACCATGGGGCAGCATCTTTTTGTGAGTTGATTGCCCGCAGCCTGGACAATGTGGCAGAGATTGCTGAGAAGACGGGCCGGGCATTCCCGCGACACCTTGTCGTCCAGGCGGACAACACCACGGCCCAGAACAAAAACTCGCTGGTGTCATTGTTCCTCGCGCATTTGGTTTCAGAGGGCAAGTTTTTGACGTGCACCTTTAACTTTCTGACAGTGGGACACACCCATGAAGATGTGGATCACTTCTTTTCCTTGATCCTGTCCACTGTCCTCCGTCCTTGCCGGTTTGAGGTGCCAGATGAGTTGGTGGCCCTTTTGAAGGAAAAGATGGAAGGGTTTGTGTCTGGAAAGGGGGAGGCGCTGTATGTGGAGCAAGTGGTGCACATCAGGGACTTTGACACCTGGCTTGGGCAACTCAAAGTGACGCTTCGCAACTGCTTTGTTTCCAGGGCTGGAAGGCTGGCGGCCCACTCATTTGTTTACAAATGCCGCTGTCACTTGACGCCCAGAGAACTGGAGCAGCTGCCTCCCAGCCGGCGTGGTGTGGAAGAGCATGACCATGATGTGTTCGCTCTCACGAAAGGACGCATGCATGCAACTTCTTTTCATGCTCCTGTCCTGGCCCTCCCGCGAAGGAGAGTGGAAGACTGTTCACTGTCGCCTGTTCCCTGTGACTTCAAGATTCTCGCAGAAGGGGCCGACAATGAGAAGTTACTCAAGAAACTGGAGAACTTGGCTGACACACTTGAGTCCCTGCCGCATGATTTTCTACGTGCTGTTGCTCAGCTCTGAAATGCATTGGCTTTGTCTTAAATCCATTTTTTTCCGAGGGCTTATGTTGATTTGCCATGCCCTTGAATGCCCAGGTTCCACTATTGCGTGAACGTTGTGAACGTCTCCAAGCGGGCCGCGTTGCTGGGGTAGATGAGGACCCACCCCCGCTGAAGTGGTTAGCTGCAGCGGCACCAGAGCGAGCTGAAGTGCCATTGACAAGGAACATGTACTATGAGCATTTGCCTGACACTTCCTGGCAGCTGCTGACGACGTTTCATCGGTTGCCCCGCCGGAACAGAGAGGAGTGACAAATGGCTCATGAGCAGTTCAATTGTGCTGTTGTGTTTTCGTGCATTCCTTGCAGAGTCAGAAGTTGATGTTGACCTGTTCTCCGCAGCTGTCGACGGTTCACTGTCGACTGTTCACTGTCCCCCTGTCCCTGTCGTGGCTAGCATGGCCCCCGCAAGTTGGGTGGAAACTGCCGAGTCCAAGGCAGTTGTGGAGAAGGTGAAGAAGAGCATCTTGACAGCTGTCGGTGGCTCCTTGGACCCAGAGAGCTTTGATTGCGTGCATGTGATTGATTTCATCCAGACGAAGTACCCGGAGCCGGACCTGCTGAAGAACTGCTTGGAAGGGCTGTATCAGAGAACCAGGCTGGTTGACCCTACTTGGGTGCACAATGCCACGGTGGATACAGTTCCAGCACCACCAGGGCCGCAGCAGGCTGGCAATGAGGGATGGTTGTTCACGTGTGAGAACAACAAGCCCTCGCACGGAGTACGCAGCGAACTCTTTTACAGCCACAACAGCAAGAGAAAAGTATTGCCAGGTGCAGTTGTACACTTCTTGATTTGTGTGTGTCACCCTCTTGCTCTGAGGCTTGTAGCCCAAAAGCGGTAGGAGTGATGGGTGGTGTGTACAAGCAAACTACTCCCAGTGCCGCCGGTAGCGGCGTCTGAGCGGCGCACCTGGGCAGATTCACACTCTCCCCCTTTTTCGACCGGTCTTCGATCGAAAAACTTCGCCAAAATGGCGGCACAAAAACTACCTGCGTAGCAGGTTTCTCTGATCAATCGCTAAACGACGGATCTGAGCAGCCTCCCGGGGGCTAAGCAGATCAACATCAATCTGTAACTCAGTGCGACCCCGCCAGCGGCTCTGCAGATACGCCTGTCCAGCGCCTCTGACGCGCCAGTCATCATCGATGACTGATCTTCGACCATCAAGATACTGCACCAGCGTTCGTCGGAGCCCGGTGAACACTTCAAGACGGAAAGGTGTGGTCGTGTGCACTGGCGTGAACATTCGGACCCTCGGAGTGGAGTGCCACCTAGTCACCACAACCGCCCTTCCAGCAGAGGGAGACTCAAAAAAGTCTGCTTGGTCAGCGGGCGGCAACAGAAACAACGCGCTTTCATCCCCACCCCAAACCGAACTGCTTCTAGCAAGGTCCTCAAAAGTGAGCTGGACTGGGTCAGGCCAACCAACTCTCAGGCGCAACGGCGGTGCCGGATACAACCAAGAGGCAGGTTGAGGGTCCAACGAAACTCGAAACTGGGCAGTGTCATCGATGTAATGCAGTTCATGAACGATCTCTTGAGCAACCTGTTCAGGGTCGGGCTCAGGATTTCGAACAGGCAGAGGGGGCCTATTAGGAGCATGAGGCGCTACAGCAGGTCGTTCAACCCTACTAGCGTGAATCAGATCGTGGGGCGTCTGTGGGGGCTCGGGAAGATGCAGCGGCTCAAGCGGCGGAGGCTCATCTTCAGGATCCGCTTCTTCAGGTCCTTCCGGTTCCTCGTGAGGTTCAGGCTCAAACGGCCGTCTGGTGGCCTGCCCAAAGAGACCCTTCAACACTTCCCACACTGCAATTACTGCGATTGTCCACACCACCAGCAATGCAAACAGGATCCAGTCTATCCATGAAGACGGGCCTTCCGAAAACTCAGCTTGATCACGCACCCCAGCCGAAGGTTCAACGCAAAGGCTAAAGACAAGCGCGCCCAACACTTTTGCAACTCTAGCAACCCCTGCAGATGCAGGGGTGCTGACCGCAGGTTCTACAGCACTCATGCCGATCAGGTCCCGCAGGCGTTCAACTCGAGGCTGTTGGAGGATCTTGGTCCCGATGTCAGCCGTGTTATGCTGACCATCGAGGTGCAGCACCTCCCACTCAAACAAAGCAACCTTCTCCCGCAATGCCCCTGCACGGATCTTGAGGTGACGCGTGCGCCAGCTGTTGGTGTCCGCAGCTAGGATGCCGATGGCAGCAGCATTGTCGTTCAGGAGAATCTTTCGAAAACCCTGGCTGGAATACAACTCGTTCAAGAGGACGGCCAAGGAGTCGCCGAGATTGCAGCCGGAGATGGTAGAGACCAACTCCGCCTCACAAGTCGACTGGGCGAGAAAGCTTTGTCTTGTCGAAACCCAACATACGCAACAACCGCGCCAATAAATGCAAACACACTCTTGACTACGGAGGCCCTCGGGCGCGAAGCCCGCATCGGTATGCACTTCAAGTAGCCCAGAGGCTTGGACGGCACGGCGGGCCTCCCCCCAATGAGCACTCGGCTTCGTGGTAAAGAACAAGCCAAGCACAGGTGTAGTCTTCAAGTATCCAACAACACCAAGCGCAGCCCCGTAGGCCTCTTGTGGACGTTTGCACATCGCAGATGCAATGCGAGAGCATGCAAACACCAGGTCTGGTCGTGTTCTCACGGCCAGCCAAAGGAGCTCGCCACAGACCTTTTGGCAAGCTTTGAGGTGGCCCTCAATGTCATCCTCGGCCGTTTCACTCAAAAGCGGACGCAACAGGGGCACAGCTTGACACTTGACTTCCGGGTATCGCCCAACCAGATCTTTGATGTAGGATGACTGATGGACGTACAACCCGCTTCCGTCGCTGTCCCATTGCAGCTCGAGCCCATTGAATCGAACTGAATCGCCTTGCCCCCGGCACACAACGTGCTCCAACTCACCACTGTCCCAAATGCCCTTGATCTTGTGGTAAATCGCTTCGACATAGACTCGCCGAGCAGCACCTAAGAAATCGTCAACGTATATGGCTAGCCAGCCACACACCACACCGACATTCAGGGGCGCGTCAACACTTTCCAGCCGCACGACAAACCAGATATTGCTATCAGCAGCACATACCTTCAACCGAAGAACCTCGCCTTCCACCAGCACCGTCAAGTCGCGCAAGGTTTCGTTGCGAAACAGCGTCCAGTCACGAGGACTTGTGTCCAACCCGTAAACGGCCAACAATACCCTCCACAGTTCGTGGGAGGGGATCAGCTTTCGACGCACCAGTTGTCTTGGCGGTGTTGCGATCACAATTTGCTTCTTTCCCCGGTGAGCTGCTTTCAGATCTCTGGGACGGGACGGGGCGTTCAAGAACGCCGTGGAAATATCCCAAACCGCCAGATGATAGCGGTGCTCCACAGCTTCGGCTAGGAGGACTCTCAACAAACTGATGTCAACACCCCCGGCGTAAGTAGCCAGTCGACGGTCCAAGGAGGATTCATCAAGGTTGGCGGGTAAAGCGTTACCGCATAACACGATGCGGCATTTGCGGCGTCCACTTACCGCTTTCCGCGTGTACACCGTCTTTGATGGGATTCGGGTGATTTCTGCCCCCTCCTCAACCCAACGTTGGATTTCTTCCTCGGTAGTCCTGGCCAAAGCACCTTTAACATCTAGCAGCGACGACAACTCCTTGCGAGTGCACTCGATCCAAGGCTCCGACCACTCGGCAAACACCTCTTCGTTGCTGTAGGTCCGCGTTTGCAACGGAGCTGGAACCTCATCGGAAACCCTATGGTGGTCAGATGCCTCGGCGACAGCAGCGACACGACAAGCCTTCAACACAGCATGCTCATGCTCCGCGGGGCACGCTCTCCAACCAACAAGCTCATGCTCTGCAAGACAAGCTCTCAATGCCACAAGCTCACGCTCGACACCACGCGCACTCAACGACTCAAGCTCACGCTCGACACCACGCGCACTCAACGACTCAAGCTCACCCCCAACATGACAAGCTCGCAAGGCATCGCACTCTGGCTCCGACCAACCTGCCCGCAACGACACAAGCTCGCGCTCCAGGCAGTGAACCTCCGATGCAATGTCAGTGAGCAACGCAGCCGTAGCGGGCGCCGCGCGCATTCCTGCATCATCCTCGGTCTCATGCCTTAGCAGTTTCCGCTCATCACGCATCAACGCCTTCAAAACCAACTGATGTTGATCAAGCTCTTCTACTCCCTTTCCAAACCACTGTTTACGATACCCAGACAGTTCGCTAAACGAACCCGTGCACGGAAGCTCAATCGCACACAACGTGTAATCAACGATGCGATCGTCAGCTGAACAGGCGGAAGCAGCATGAAGCCTACCCTCAACCCTGAAGACCCTATGAAACAGATCGCCACACTCGATCCAATCCTCGAGGTCACTTACCGCCCTCACACCATCCAAGAGCTCAACATGACCGTGATAGCTTGATGCAGTCATCCCTTCTGGACTCTCCTCAGTGGTAAAGAACTCACCGCACTCAGCACAAGCCCTGTCGCAACACCAGCACATCCGAAGAGAGTGTCTGGAACCCAAACTCTTCAAAGCCTCTGATGTACAACTGCCCTCAGCAAAACCTATGGTTTCGTCGAGTGGAACCCCGAAGGAGACTCGTTTGGAGCCTGAAAGCCCTGAGGTCGACGAGCCAGCTCTCGAGCTAGGTTGGCGACTCACTCGCAATGCTGCCGTCAAATCAGCATCAAGATTCCCTCCAGCATCAATCCCACACCCTCCCCCCTGATGAGCATCATCAGCATCAGTAGTGGGGATTTCAGGACCGCGAACATGCAACGAAGCAGGATCAAGGCGGGGCAACGGAAAGCCGAGCTTACGAAGGTCATCACAGATTGCGTCACTTGCCCGGTTTATGGCTTGAAGAGAATAGGCAACAAGCAACAGCGGACTGCCCTGAAATGCCTGAGCTGAGTGCCATCTACGCGCATCCAGAAGCATCGGCTTCTGCACGAAAAGCCATCTCAACTGCCCTGCCTCAGAGCTACCGTGAGGAACTGTCCTCACCTCAATCGGTCCTTCTACTACATCCCCAAACCCAAGCTGTGACCATAAGCACATACCCCCCTTCGGAAGACTCAAAGGATACAGCAGGTTGGAGTGGGGGAGATTGCTCACATCCCTATGGGGTGGAACATTGCCGTCATGAGTGAGAGCTACAGTAGTGAAGGATTGCTCAGCGCAAATAAAGCGGGCCAATGTCACCAACAACCGTCCGAACCCAGGAAGTTCCTGACAAGCCCTCGTCACCCCTATCACTCCCCCGTGCCTATACAACCCCCAAACACTATGCATACCCGGTCTCGTAGATCCTTGCGATGCCGCAGGCACCGACTGCACCCAGGACGATGTGAGCAAAAACTCAATCGCACGATGTAGCTGAAACGGCACAGTATCTGCCAGCATGGCTGCATGCTCATCTTCCGTGAAGAAGTGCTTTCTCAAAGCAGCAAGGGTGGTCTTCTCACGAAGCCGCTTTCGAGGGATAATCGGGGCAGGCTGAGGGATGGGGGCAGCTTCGGGTACTTTACGACGAACTCGACGCTGAGGGGCTCGAAGGGGTGGCTCGAGATCATGCAATGTGTCCTCGTTCACTACAGCAGGTGGATTCGGACATGTCAGCACATCCCGGAACAAGACTGAAGTAACGAAATACTCACCGTTCACCGTCTGAACCAAATAAGCATTAGCCACATCACGCGCAGGAGCTAACACCATGGCTTGAACCACCTTTGCCTCCCACAACGATACCTTCCAGGAGCGCTGCCGAGCAAAAACCGAAGTGCCAAAAGGCACCAAAGGAAGAGTTCCCGGATGTCCTAGATATTGCAATGCAGACCGAAGCCTAAGCTCCGCAGCATATCTGAAAGCAAAGGGCCAAGCCTTGTCAGGCAGCTCGATTGAGCGAAGTAGTGTACGAGCAATTCCTTTTAGAATACCAACACACCTCTCAGCCCTACCATTGCGGCGAAAGTCGTCAGCACCTGTGTTGCTAACCTGAATCTCGCGCGACGCTGCCCAAGCCAACAAATCACGGTTCACGAACTCTGCTCCACTATCCGTCATTAGGCGGACGATCGGGTATCCGAGAGCTGAAATCCTAGCGACCACTCGCCGGAGAGCTGTGAGGACTTCCCGCCCCCTTTTTGATCCCAGAACCTCAGTGAATGTCAGTTCCACAGTAGGCAGCCTCTCCAACAGGTTGCGGCCAACGGCGTCCAAAGCTTCAAGCTCACCTGCGCATGAATCCTCAACGACTTCCCGGAAACCCACACCTGGCGACTCCCATCCGTCAGGCCCAGGTTCCTCGGACTCTGGGCTGAGTAGAGGGTCGGCAGGCTCTATTGGGCCAGGTTCGGTAGAATCACCATCATCTAGGTCGCTTAACCCGGCACCCGCAGCCTCCAGACACCCTTCACCTTCACCGACCAGCGAGTCCTGCTTTTGATGTTCCTGCTTTTGCAGGCGCTCTAAATCCGGAAGTACAAGCACACACACCAACGCATAACGGACCCGAGCGATCTTTTCGTCCTCTCCGGCGGCATACGGCCCAACCAGATCCGCGCATAACACATTTGCCTCGGGAACCGCAGCACGCACGTGGCGACGATCCTTGGAACGCCCCTCGACGCAACTTCTGCAACGCTTCCAATACGGCAAGTGACCGCGTTCAACGTGCCGCTTCATGGCAGCCCTGTCCGTTTCACTCATGGCCCTAACCGCTGTTTCAGCAAAAAACTCTCGAACGGCAACTTGGACTGCATACACAAGACCCGGAGGCCAAGGCGACCATGCAACCGAGACGCACGAACCGGCTTCATCACCAAGTGGCTGCGAGACTCCCGCGGTGACAGGAGTAAGCCAACTCAAGTTGAGATTTGTCGCCAGGTGAGTGAGCTTCACGCCTCCACAACCTAAAACTCCCTGGTCACAAGCAATCAAGCTCAACCCCAATTCTTTTTGCAACTCATGCCACTCCAAGGTCGCAAACAAACACGGGTACAAGTCTGGAGCGTCACATGCTACATATGTCATGGGATCACGTGGTTGCGCAATCATTACGCCTACGGGACCCCGGCCTAAGGCCTGATTAGCAGCATGTGCCACACGAAGAATGGACATGAGTCTGATGACCATGATGTTGTCATGCTGAACCTTCGCCGACTCAGCCTCTGAGAGGTACACTTTTCCCCATCGTCCCGGTCCGGACCGATCACGCGCGACTGGAGGACCACCTGGTTGTGTGCGAAGGGCGCCGAAAGTACGGCATGGTGGTTCTCCAAGCACAATCCGTATCCGACCCTCAAGAGCAAGTCCCAAGATTCCAGCAAAAGTAGATTCTAGAGAAGGATCCTCATCAACATCAACGTCCAACAACTCAAGGTTTTGAGCCTGAGCAACCTGACGAAGTTCACCACTAGCAACACTCCCAAACAAGTTCAGAAGAATGCCCCCCTTGGCAAGTGACAGCTGTCTGCGTCGCCGCCGATTCCAAGGTGAGTCTATGCCCATGACGGTAGCGGACACCGCTGCACGGTCGAGTAGATCTGCTGGGGCTTCTGGAAACGCTAAAGCAAGCCAGCATCTAACCAAACCCAACGTATCTTCACCCGCATCCCTCTGGCAACGGATCTGATCCAACACAACCAAAGGATCAGTGGTCAAGTCACCCTGTACCACTGGAGCCACCCGGCGAACTCCTTCCACACGCCGCAAGTAACCCTCAATCTCACCGATCATGCGTAGCGCGCAACTCTTGCCAACCTCAGGACAACCAGACTGGGTGGAAACCGGAACGCGCAGCCCCTTTTTGCTTCGCAACTCCAGATTGCCCTCAGACTTCCAACGAATCTTGTAGCCAATCCGAACCAACAGAGACAACGACACTATTGGCATGACCTCTTCCCTCGTCAAAATCGTGCCGCAAGAGTTTACATGTAGATCCGTCGAGCCGACCGCCAAAGCCACCGTGCGCTTCGTGCAGCCTTCCAGCTCCCCCGGAAGTGCTTGCCTCATGCAGCAAGTGGCCCCACTGTCCAGCAATCCTACCGGAGAAGTGGAACGCACAACAGTACAAACCTTTGGCTCACCGCCACCCTCAATCAACTCCAAACTTCCACCACCCAACCAACGACCAGTACACCGCGGCATACCGTCAACCGGACTGGATGGAGCAGGTGCCACATCCCGCATCGCCTTCAATGCGAGGGCCTTAAGCGCCTCAGTGGCTTCGCGAAGGAGCTCCGCTTGCGCTTGTCCTCCGCTGAGGTTCCCAGACTCGCCCTGGTCTGCAGCCCCGGACGGGTCCCCCGAACCTTGGCCTACACCAGCCTTTCGGACACCAGGAGCCGCCTTGGCCTTCGCTTTAGCTTCCGCCCCTGTGCCCTGTTTGTTGGAGCTTTCCGCTCCGGTGTCCCCGTATGGACACGCATCCTTCCGATGTCCTTCAGCGGAACACCGGAAACAACGACCACTCTGGATCGTAACCGCAGGCTCATGCGCGAACGTGCATTTAGCCGCAAATCTACAACCACCTGCCGTCATCCAGTTTTTGCAAGGCTTACCCTTCTTCTTACCATCACCCTTAACCTCTTCCTTGCCCTTACCGGCACCCTTCCCCTTCTCCTTACCATCGCCTTCCCCAAGCCTTGCGACTCGTGATGCCTTCTCTGGAATTGCCAAACTTAAAACCTCGAACTCAGACTGCAACACCCTTGCAAACTCAAGGACCCCAGCTTCAGAAGGTATATGATCGAGTTGCAACTGTTGTCTCGCTGAGCTAACTCTGAAACGAAGTTCATAGTGTTGGCCAAGCAAAGGGGCCGAAAGAGCATCCAATCCCTTCAGAAGTAGAGAAGCGTCTGGTCTCTGAACCCCAAGGGAGCCTGCTCGACCTAACCAGCGATGCCAGAGTTGTAGCTTTGATACGGCATCTTGGGGAGAGGAGGCCTTACCCGGATACTGAAGTGCATCGAGAAGTCTTGCACGCTCCTGGGCCCCACCGGGCTGGTAGGTCTTCAAAATCGTGCAAAGAAGAGCATAGCAGGTGAGCGTTCGTTTGCTAATCAGCTCTTCCCTAACACGATCTGTAACCGCGTCCCTTAACATACCAAACGCCCGAGCCTCCAACCGGATAAAACGTGCATCTGCAAGGTTCTCCGGCAAAGACGGTACTAATGCACCGCGTTGAAGTGCAGTGGCTGTCTGCCAACAAGTGTACCAATCCTCTGCAGCCCTCACCACCAATGACCACCACTCGCCGGAACCCGAACAAAGGTCACACATCATCGGTTTTATCTGCACCATCCAATCCGAAGCTCTAAGGGCTGCCGTTTCATCACAGGGGCCCAACACCGGTAGTGTCCAGAAAACCCTGTCTCCTGGTGAGTATTTGTCCCGAGTTCCGAACCCTCCTTCCAACATAACCGGTTGAGACGCCACGGCCGAGGCATGATGAGAGAAGGATGGGAAGACAGGCGGGCAAGGATGGGCAGTTTGAGGATCATGATGCGGAGCCTCGGGAACCTGAGATGATTGAGGCCTGTTCGGCGACAGGGGAGGTGTGGAGGCAGGGGGGCGAATTTCCGTTCCACCTGGAGTCCGAGGATAGACGATGGTAGGACGGCGAGGTGGGGTCCAACGCTCAACCGGCTGCGACCCAACGTTCGCCCGAAAACCAACCTCTAAACCAGGAGGATACCCCAAACACTCGGACCCCTTCACCAACTCCCTGCTCACTGAAGGTTCGGACCGTCGCGGAAGACTAGGCACCTCAGCTCTAGAGTGATCTTCAATAGCCTTCTGGGTCCTGGCCGGTGCCGATGCAGGGCTTGACAGGGCATGGGGAATCGGCTCCGAAGGTCTACGAGGTCTGGGTTCTGAACTCGGATGATGCCTTGTCTCTCGTACCTCTCGCCTCGGTTGCCTGAGAGCCGAGTCGCTGTTGCGAGTAGGGCTGGGGGTTCGAGTTCGAGCTACTTCCACTACGCGTTGAAAAGGAGAGAATGCACGAGCCCCTGCACTAAGGACACCACTCACCGTAGGCCAACGACTCGCACTTTCACGAATCACCTCCGAAGCCTGCTGGGCTGGAGCGTTCAGAGTCGACATGCCTAGTCGTGACCCTTGTTCATGCCCGTCCCCACCCCCCGCAACATCCGACAGAGGTTCCAAACGAGCATCGCCAGTGAGAGCAGTATCTCGTGTCCCACCCGGGCTCCGATGAACACTCCCTGCATCCCTACCCTGACTCACTGAGACTCTACCCGAAGGCTCACGGGCACCCAGGGGGCCAAACGGCTCACCTGGCGAGGCAGTCCAATCCCGACCATCATGGGAGGTCCGTGCACTGGAGGTCCTCGAGGTCTCCACCGCTTGGAGCCGTCTCTCCAAATTCGCGGTAGTTTGAATCATCTGTTGGAGCATAGGGGCCATCTGCTGCTGCAACAATTGCGCCATCATGGCGCTGAGAGCTTCCGGCGCGAGGTTTCCGGGCCCTGGGGCCACACTACCCACGTTATCGGACATCGGCTCACCCGAAGCAGTTTGCGATAACTCCCGTGTCCACTCCACAGATCCCCTTATACCCCCGTCAGCATCCACTGGTTGGGACTGTTGTGCGCTCTCGAGTCTCTCATAGTCCGGTACCAACTCCTCATTGGAAGAGTGATCCCCATCCCGGAATTGAACCGCTCGAAGCTCACCCGAAGAAGCAGCTGGTTGGTCCAAGACTTGTTCCGCTACCAGTTCAGACTCAATCGGAATGACAGGCTGAGTGGCACCAGAAACATCGCCTGGGGCTGGATCTTGTACATCTTCCATGGTGGCATAATCTGGTTCTACAGAGAAAGCAGACAACTCACTCGCCGCACGGCTGGGTCTGGGGTTTTGCATCCTACGGTGGGCTTCTTGAGCTGCCTCACTCCAGAAAGGGTTGGGCTCTTGACTACGCGAGGCGGGTGAAGCCATTGCGTCGCTTGGGCTCATGACCCGTGTGAGAACAACAAGCCCTCGCACGGAGTACGCAGCGAACTCTTTTACAGCCACAACAGCAAGAGAAAAGTATTGCCAGGTGCAGTTGTACACTTCTTGATTTGTGTGTGTCACCCTCTTGCTCTGAGGCTTGTAGCCCAAAAGCGGTAGGAGTGATGGGTGGTGTGTACAAGCAAACTACTCCCAGTGCCGCCGGTAGCGGCGTCTGAGCGGCGCACCTGGGCAGATTCACACTGTTCATTTGGCAACTTGGCCACCAAGATGGGAGTTCGCTCAAGGGGCGGTCCAACATGGTGAACATCTTGGAGATAGCATTCAGCATCCTGGAGAACACTTACAACAGTGTCCAGAACCCTTTGGATGTGCTGTTTTCTGCTCCAGCTGGAAGCCCCATTGAAGATTTTTCTGTGAAGTTCAGTGTTGGCTATGGCAGGTCCCTGGCCATCAAGATGATTCTGGTGGCAGTCATGGACTTCACCAATGAAGAGCTGCAGGCCCTGTTCCCTGTCCTCTGTTCACTGTTTGCTGTCAAGTTTACCAACAACCCAGCTCCCACGGAGGACATGCAGAGGTATCGAAGTCTTGCAGCGAAATTCCAGGTGAGCGAAAGTGCACGCCCTGATCCGATTCAGATTTACACCATGCTAGCGGAAAGTCTTGCAAAATCGGGGATGGACGTCGCTCACGGGCTACCAGTGAAAATCAAACAGTACAACAGCCTCTTAAGTGTCCAAAGCCAAAACATTTCAGAGCTTGAAGCTCGCGTCATTTGCATGCTGCCACATCAGACGCCCAAGTTCGTGGAAGTGCTGAAGTATCACTGGCAAAACTACAAGAATGCCGAATCGGCCGTGCCGATGAAGTTCTTCGGTCGATCTTCTACCTTCAGCTCTGAGGTGCCGCCGGAGGCGGCCGGCGTCTGGAAGGAGATCCTCAAGGCGGGCCCGGAGAAGAACGAGTGCTTCCTGTTGCTGCTCATCGGGGTGTTTGTCAAGAGCTTGAAGGATGCGCTGCGCATGAAAAAGAAGCCAAACCTCCGTTTCCAAGCTGGTCGCTTCCGAGTGAACGACCCTGTGATTGCGTACCAGCAGGCGTGTCTTTGGGTGCACTTCAAGCCAGCCATGCAGAAGGAGATGTCTGCCCCTGACTTCGACCAGCTTGAGAAGAGCTTTCTCCGTGGAGGCCTTGATCGTGAGCTCGTGGATCGTTGCAAGGCCATGAACCCAACTCTGAAGTTGGCAGACTTCCGCTTCATCTACACGTTCCTTGGAAAGGAGGCTCCCATTGTCAAGGAGAATGTGGAGCTGGAAGCAGCACAGGAAGCAGCAGAGCTGGAGCAGGAGAAGGCAGTTGGGTTAAACAATATTTTGAGTTTGGGGTTCTGGGGTGGGTTCTGTGTCCAGTGTATGGTTGGAGGTGCAACTTTTGATCAGGATCCAGTATTGTCATTCTTCATGGGGGGGGCCTGCTTTTGTAGTTCACGTGACTATTGATGCATCTTGTGGCTGTTGGTGGGATCTAGGGTGTAATGCACAATCACGGTTGATAGCCGTGGTTCATGATTTTTTGTTGATGCATGTTACAGCTTCCGATTGGAGCTATGGTGTAGTGTAGTGAGTAATCATGGTTGACAGCTGGACACTGCTTTGTAGTTGATGTTCATACAGATGCATTTTTCAGGTTTTGGTTGAAATCTAGGGTGTGATGAACAATTATGGCTGATAGGTGGGTTTTGTAGTTGATGGTGTTCTCGATGCATGTTGCAGCTGGTGATTTGGATGCCTAGTGTAATGTATGTTTTCGGTTGATGGGCGGACATGTAGTTGATGTTGTTCTTGATTTATGTTGCTTGCATTCCCTTCCAATCCAGCAGGCAGCCTTGCAACTCTTCACTGCGAAGCTTGACAAGGACACATCCATGTGGACTAAGTACGTTTCTGCTCTGGCCGATCACACCTCTTCCCAGAGAGTTGGCAAGGTGGACTTCCTCCGTTCTCAGGACAAGCAGTTGGCAGACGCCATTGAGGCCCAGGCTGATGTCCAGTTCCCTGTCAAGTACCTTGCGACTGGTGACAGTGTGGCACCCTTCGTAAGCACTTGCGCTAGTGCTTGGAGTGAAAAGCAAGTCCTGTCCACTGTCAGCCTGTTCACTGTCTACATTGTCAATTTGACTGCCCCTGGCTCCAGTGCCATGCGAGCATTGAAAGAAGCAACTCGGCTGGTCGCTGATGCATGCGCCCACTGCCCAGAGAGAACAGTTGGCATCGTCATTGCCCCGAATGTGGCTGGTCATGGGCACACGTATGACGAGGTTGAGATTCAGAAAGTGCAAGATGAGGCAGAATCCTTTATGAGACAGGATGCATATGGCCTCAAAGTGCGCCGTGGACAGTTCGTGTTCAGTGCAGACAGCATCAACTCGCGCACGAGGTCTTGTGTGCACCCGTTCCTCATGTGCTTGAGTGACCATGTCAACGCCGAGACTGGTGATCTTGTGAGTTTGTTCCAAGGCAGCCTGCTCTGGCACCGCAGGGCGGTGACTGGCATCAAAATGAAGCCCAACAACGAGTATGTGGTGCCAGTTCAAGGTCAGACTGCCATTTCTGTAGAAAATTTGGCAAAGGCACAGCTGCACAAGCAGCACATCGCTGGTCTTGACCTCATGGACAAACTCAAAGAGACGCTGTGGAAGGGGATGAACCTTACTCAGCAGCATGGGGCGGTGTTCGTGGACTTGCTGCCATATGATGACTCTGTCCTTCTGTCCACTGTCCAAGGTTCAGCTCGTGCAAGGCCAAAAGAACCGCAGGAGATGGTGGTGACCTGCTGCTGGGCTCGTGGTGATCAGGATTCTGACATCCGCGTGAAGAATGCAGCGTGGCTTTCTGGGGTCGTCCATCGAGGCATGGAGCGGCTGGTGAGGCAGAAGCTTCTGTGCCTCCATGGTTTCACCCTGAAAGAGTATCAGCCTGAAGCCGCCAAGCCGACCACTGACCCAAGCCTTTACCACTTGACTTTTCCATCAGCGGACGGGAACTTGGCAATGCGGCAGACTTCGTTGGATGAGTGGTCGCCCAAGTTCGCTCGCTTGAAGAAGGAGTTTGACGCTTTGATTGAGAAGCACAACAAGGCATTTAACTCCTCAGGTTGCCCATACAAGGCTGATGGACGCAAGCGACCTGCAGAAGCTGCAGACACAGAGGAAGATGGCGAGAGTTTCCCTGATGATTGTGTTGTGGAGTCCATTGAAGCCCTTGGCAAAAAGCAAGGTGCATTGACAACTGTGCACAGCAACCAGCCAGAACTGTTCCGCT